AGAACATTCTCAGTCATACTTTTTAAAATAGTTAAAACTACAAAAAAAAACCCTCTAACTATCACTAAACTAATCAAGACTTGATTATGTCTATTTTTGCCCAAAGGAATAATTAATACCTTTTCTTTCCAGTACTGAGATTGGAACCCAGGACCTCACTCATCTTAGATAAACTCTCTACAGCTTAAGCTACACTTGCAGCCTCACCACGAAAAAGGCATCCTAAGGTCATTTCTGGTGTGTATAGGCTCTTGATGTATCCTTATTTATTACCTCTGTGGCAGCGGAATGGAGAGTGGGTTTTGAGACACGGTCTCAAGTAGCCCAAGCTGGCCTCGAACTTATTATGTAGTGAACTATGGCCTGATCCTCTGTCTCCACCTCCCAAATACTGAGACTTCAGGTGTGCACTACCTGCCTTGATCTGTCCCTGGTGTTTGCTTGTTTGTTTGTTTGTTTGTTTGAGGTGAGGTCTTATGCAGTGCAAGCTGGCCTGCAGTGTGAAATACTCTTGCCTCAGCCTCCTGAGTGCCTGGATGTCAGTGCCTGGCTTCCTCTAACTTTTAGGGCCCATTCTGAAAAAGAACAACATTCCAAGAGGATAAGGCATTTACCTACTGGAACTCTGGGACTCTGATCCACGATTTTGACCTTGTTGTCTTTAATCTAGGCATGACAGTGTTATCCCACCAGTCAGGGGATGGGAGCAAGAAGATCAAAAGTTCAAGAACATTCTTAGCTGCATAGAGAATTTGAGGCCAGCCTGGCTGGGTAGAGACCTGTCTCAAAATAACAAAACAAAACAAAATTAAACAAAGTAATTTCCAAATCTTCCTTGAATGGAAGCTACCTGCAACAGTGTATATGTATTAGCCCCCTCTTTGTTTTCTGAAACAAGGTCTCTCCCTGACCTGGCACTTATGAAGTAGTCTAGACTGGCTGGCTGGTCTTAGGCCCCAGGGGTTTGCTCTCCTTCCTCAGCACTAGGTTACAAGGTCCATCCCCATGCCCAGCTCTTTGTGTGGGGTTCAAACCCAGATCCTCATACATACAAGACAAGCACTTTATCAACTGAGCCATCTCCTCAGTCCCTCAAAAGTTACCCAAAGACATATCTGAATGCTAATGGCCACAGTGTTCAGCAAAGCTCAAATCTAGGAATGTCCCAGGGGAAGCAGCGACTGTGATACCCGTATGATGGCACACTGCCTCTGTGTCATGTGCACTTGCCACAAACACTTCAACACTAACTACATGGGGTCCCTTCCCATACCAACCGATTCCTCATCTTCACAGACATAAACTGGGTGTCCAACAGTTCCGTTCAATTTTGACAGCCAAAGTTAGTGCAGATGCCACAGTTTAAAGGTTCAGGCCGAATAGATACAATGGTCAGTTAAATGACCCTTGGTCTGTCTGACTATCTGAATACTCCACTGCCACAAAGGGAGCCGGAGATGAACATTTATAAGGTGAAGACTTCATGTAGAGCAGACATGTCTTCTTCAAAAGGACCTGGAAGCAAGAAAAAGTGTCATCCACTTGAGCATCAGGACAACAGGCACATGCCACCACACCTTGTTTATGTGGCACTGGACGTGAAACCCAGGGCTTCGTGTGTCTTAAGCAAGCATTCCACTCACTGAGCTACGTTGGATCACCTTGATTGTTTCACCAAGATAAATATGGAGCTGGACTCTGAGTGAAAGAATATAAAAATTTGGTTTGAGAAGCTCTCGCGGCTAAACTTGGTTGTCAGCTTGACACTGTCTGAAATCAACCGAGGTATTCTGATTGGATCATTTGAGGTGGGAAGCCGACGTAAATCTGGGTCACACCCTCTGGTGGCAGCCCACGTGAAAATCACATGGAAGAGGACATTTGCTTTTTGCCTGCGAGTTCATCTACCCTGTTGCTGAGTCATTCCTTCGCTGGGGTCAGTACCTACTTCTTTGGGATTCCAATGTGGACTGAAGACCAGCAGCTCTCTAGGAACTCCCTGGGACTCCAGCACCAGACTGGGACCACTGAGACATCCACCTCCTGGACTGAGCATTCTGTCCGGAGACAGCCTGCAAGCCACTCTAATCAATCTAAGATCTAGCATACCAAATATATTTATTGTCAACATTGCGCACACACGTGGTGTGTGTGTGGTATGTATGTGGTGTGTGTGTGTGTGTATGTGGTTGTGTATGTGGTGTGTGTGCACACACGTGCAACTTGTGTGAAGCATATTGCTAACCTCATCAGTGCCTGATGCTGATGATGCGGTCCCGGCAGATATGGAGCCTCTTTCTGAGGTATACACGATGCTAACAGCAAACAGCTAAGCGTAAATGGAGTGTCAGGAGGTGATGAGCGCCATGCAGCTGAGGATGAACTTGAACCCCTCATGCTCCTGCCTCCACCACCCAGGTGCTGGCATTTTAGCTATGTCCCACCATGCCTGGTTTATACAGTGCTAAGAACTGAACATGAGGCTTCGTTCATGCTAGGCTGCCACCCGACCAGTTGAGCCACATCCCAGCCCCCTTTCAGTCTTTTTGGAAGGCTCCTCTTCCTGTTTCAGCCCCTTGGATACCGACATTCTCCGCACTCTCTTTTCAGCTCTGTTGTTTTTTGCCCTCTCTGCCAGCTTTCACGATCTGCCACCTCGATAAGAGGGGATCCCAATAATGTCAGTCCAAGCAAGCCAAATCCTTCCCAGACCTTCAGAGCTAGCTTGCCCCGTGTAATTGGGTATATCTGCTTGTACCCCATGGATTGAAAAGCAGCCTCTTACTGTTTTGTTTTGGTTTTCTTTTAGCAAGGTCTTTCCACAACATAGCCCTGGCTGGCCTCAAACTCACAGAGATTCCCCCCTGCCTCTGCCTCCTAAATGCTAGGATTAAATGCATACATTACCTACCCAGCCATAACATGCCCCCCCCCCTCCGTTGTTATCCAGGCTAGAGGTTGAATCCCTGTCACTGCCTCTTCTCAACTGATAGCTGGGTCCTACTGGTCTCCCCTCGAAGACCTTCTTATTAACAGATCAAAAGTTTTCTCCATCTTGTCTCAGCTGAAGCTATCTTTGTTTTAAACTGAAACTACCCCTCCCCCCCCCTTTTTTTACCCACGTCCTACCCTGAAAAGTCCCGTGGAAAAGCCCCCAACCCTGTTCTAGAAACTCAGGGTTGAAATGTCCAGCTAACTGCACGGTCTTGGCTCTTGTTAAATGGTTTGCTTGCTTCCTCCTGCTGGGGGCGGTGGGGAGTGGGGGGATCTCCCTGAAATGTGCATCCCAGCTGCCCTGTGAGGAGTGTTTCTCTCCACACAGCTGCAGGCTGACTCACTACAGACTCTCAGATCAAATTTTGACCATGCTGAATGGTCTTTGAGTGTCTAACCCCAACACTGGTGAGTCCTCCCTCTCCTTCTACCGCACTGTCACAAGCTTGTCCATACCCTCCCCGTTTCTGCTTCCACTTCCTAGGATCCCAGGGCCTGTGTCTAAGCTCACTAACAGCCCGCTCAAGGAAGTCACCTGACTTCGTTACATAAGCTTTAGGCTCAACCAGGGCTGGACACAAGCTATCGTGTAAGGCTTACCGAAGCACTCCATGCCCTCTGAGGCTTGGCCTGCTGGCCCAGGCTGTATCCTCTCTCTCACGCCTTTGCTTAGACTCTGCAGAATTTCGTAGATCTCTCCAACCCAGCCGCAGCTGTCCCTAATAGCAAATCCTTCAGCACAGTTCTTCATATGAGCGAGTATGCCACATATCGGCTGGAAATATTGCCAGAGGCAATAGAGTTCAAGTACTGTAGGGAAACACAGCTAACACATCCTCTCTCCTGACTCAGTTCTCTCTCCATGGGTTCGAGCCCCTGACTCCTCCCCTACCTCCAAGGATCCTCTGTCCTGACTCTGGATATGTGTCAGAGACAATATTTAAAAGAGGATGATGACCCTACCTGTGAGGTCATCCCTCTCACTCATTCCCTTTCTGACATATGCCATCCTCCAGTCCTGACCTGGTCCAGGCCCTAGCTGGACTCCTTGCCTCCAACCGTCAGCGGGTCCCTAAGTCTCTCACTCCCAGTCTCCCCATGGCTGGATTTTTCTCCATTACTGATACCTGCCCTTGTCTGACCTTACCTCACCTTATGCCAAGCTGTCCCCCAGGCCTGTACCCACTCTTAGCCTTACTCCAGCTTTGGTCCCTGATCCCAGTCTCAGCCTTCACTGCAGTCCCACCCGGAAGCTCAGCCTCAGGCCATCCTGGTCCCTCCCCACCTGCACACAGACCAGGACCTTCTCCATTTTCACTTTAAGCTAGTAGGAGTTTCTGTTTCTACCATGCATAGCTAAGGCCCACAGAAGTCAGAAGAGGGTATTGGACCCCCTGGGACCTAAGTTACAGATGGTCGTGAGCCACTATGTGGGTTCTGGGAATCAAAGCTGGGTCCTCTGAAAAAGCAGCAAGGGCTCTTAACCACTGAGCCTTCTCTCTAGTCTCAAACACAATTTCTTGGAGTCATCTGGAGATGAGGAAGCCACTGAATATAAATTAAGGAAGACAGGCCAGGTCACTCCAGGAGACAATGTCTATACATAGACATAAGGCTGAACTCACACACATGAGGGACAGAGGTACCCTCCTGAATGTGAGCTGTGATGATGAGCACGAGGCTGTGCCTGCAAAGGAGGCTCTAGCAGGGAGTAAATCCACTAGCCCACAGGCAGTGAGGAGAGCTAACCCCATTCTACAGCAGGAACCAGAGCCGCCCCACCCACTGCTTTTACTTGGTGGCACGCTCAAGACACTTCCACAAGGACAAACATGGTACAGAAATTTTATTGGAAATAGCTGCCTGTCCAGCTGATCGACAGCTATATTCGGATTTATAAAGTTGCTGTTGTTCCCTGTCAAACTGGAAGTTCCAAGACAGCAGAAGTTACAGCTGCCAGTCTTGCTCCATCCTTGGCTCAGCTGGTACCCAACACACTCATCCCCCTCTGTGACGCTGGTCACGAGGTAAAGGGGATTCTCAGGCCTAGTTTCCCAAACACCCTTTGTCCACCCAGGACACCTAAAGGGAAGATGGTCTTCAGCTTCGTCACAAGGCTGCCTGGTGGCTGGGTGCCTCAGCAGCACCTGACTGATGTCCTCAGCAGGCATTGCAACATTCCCCAAGACGGGAAAAACGGTCTCATGAACTCAGATCACAGGACGAAGAGTTACTAGACAGCCCGCTGGAATGTGCTGAGCAGTCAGGGTGGTTTTCCAAGGAGAGGGTCCAGTCCGAGAGGGCTAATGTCAGCTGCAAGCTCCAGTTCTTGGTTCTAATGGCGTTAGGCTATAGATGTGACCATGATAATCACCCAGATTACAAATCATAGATGCAGGTATTCAGTAGAAATGGCGACATTCGTTCCAGCGGAAGTGTAAAGGAAGTCCTTGGAGGACTATCAGTGCCTCCTCAGCAAGTAGGCGTGGGCTCTAGAGACAGTAGTTACTAACTTCTGATCCTGTCACCTCCCTCCCCAGACCAGGTACCCTCTGTCCATAGCTGTACTGTGCACACGCACACTCACACACACACGCAGCAAGGCACCGCACATCAGCATGATAGCTGTCCTCTCCTTTGAGGGAGAGCCATCACTCTCTGGTAATTTTCAGAGGTTTAGCGGACAGTAAGAGATGTGTGAAAGGCAGCGCGGTGCGGTGTCAAAACCTCCTTGCGAGCCAGGCCCCAGTTCGCAAGGATCTTGAGGAACGCACGACGAAAATTTTGGCCGACGAAGGCATAGATGATGGGGTTGAGACAGCTGTGAGAAAAGGCCAGGAACTCAGTGGTATACAGGGCCTGGTCGATGTCACTGCGGCGCTTGCAGGTGTCCTCAATCCAGTGGGTGTCTAAGAGAGTGTCTGTGAGCAGGGCCAGGTTGTGGGGCAGCCAGCAGAGCAGGAAGACAAGCACAACCGCAAAAATGGCCCACATGGCCCGGTGCTTCTGCGCCATGCGGGCCTTAAAGAGCGTGCGCAGTGTGGACCCGTAGCAGAACAGCATGACCAGCAGCGGCAGGAGGAAGCCAAATGTGTGGGACAGGCCCCGCAACATTATCCGAAAATTTGTTGTGGCTTTACCCAGGACCTCGTAGCAGATTGTTCCAGAACCGTATGGTTTATAGGCCTGGCGGAAGATGACAAAGGGCAGGGACAGAATCAAAGAGAGACTCCAGAGACCTAGACATACGAACTTAACCAAGTGGCGCTTTCGGGTGAGCGTGCGCGTGGCATGGACGATGGCCAGGTATCGGTCCACACTGATGCAGGCCAGTAGCAGGATACCGCTGAAGAAGTTGACTTCCTTCAGGAGTGAGACCATCTTACACAGGGGCGTGCCAAAAATCCAGCCTTTCAATTTGGAGACAGCCCAGAAGGGCAGAGTCAGCGAAAAGAGCAGGTCAGCAACGGCGAGGTTCAGCACGTAGACGTCGGTGACAGAGCAGCTCCTTCGCCTGGATGAGAAGACCAGCATCACCAGGGAGTTTCCCAGCAAGCTCAACAGGGACACCAGTGCATAAACGGCAACCAGAGCCCAAGTGTTGGTTACTGGAACTCTCTTACAAGGGCTGAAATAATCTCCAGTGGGTATTTGGAAGCTATTTCCAAATTCTTTCTCGAAGTCATCCCACGTCATATTATCAGTAACAGCCCAGAAGTAGTCCGCCTTGGCCATGGTCCGATCTAGGTGAAAGGTCAAGAAAGAAATATGATTTAGTAACCAAATTCCAGCATCGTGAATGTTTAGGGGATAGTATTATTGGCTTCCCTGTTGCTTTGACAACCAGAGTTCACTCCCTTGGCCTTCAATTTGAACTTCGATAGAAGTTGAATTACTAATGCTGTCAAAGTTCTTGGAGATTCAGTCTGAGTACGGGATAAAATAACTCATGGGAGATACTTTTGCCTTCAAGTTGGCACTATAGTTCTCAACTCTATCTCCAGCTACCTTGTCTTCTTTTAACCATCTTTGTCCCTCAGCCATGCCCCTACATTCAGATGCTGCCACCAGGTCGCTCTTTTTTTTTTTTTTAATATATACAATATTCTGTCTGTGTGTATGCCCACACACCAGAAAAGGGCATCAGATCTCATTACAGGTGGTTGTGAGCCACCATATGGTTGCTGGGAATTGAACTCAGGACCTTTGGAAGAGCAGGCAATGCTCTTAACCACTGAGCCATCTCTCCAGCCCCCAGGTAGCTCTTATATACTAAGGAAAGAGCCAGCACGCAGCAAAGCAGAAGGAGGTAAGGTGTATCTGGGTGTCCCTCCCGACATTATTTTATATATGTGCCCCCTCATGATTGTTTGCCCTTTTCAAAAAAAGACTTATTATTTCTCATGGCACTTACTTATGTGTGTATACATGCATGCTAGTCTGTATGTCTGTATGCATACCAGAAGAAGGCGTCAGATCCCTTGGAACTGGAGCTACAGGGAGTTGTGAACAAACCCTCAAGAACAATCTGCGCTCTTACAGGATCTCCACAACACATGGCAACAACACGGGAGCCAAGAAGAGTCCCAGTGAGGCCCAGCACCGACAGTGTAATAGAAACCAGAGGCCTCGAGCCAGACCAACGACTCTTTGCAGCGAACTTTTGCAAATAAAGACATATGGACAAAGGGGTTTAGTGCGTGACTCACTGTGTCACACTGCAGCTTCCATAAGGGGAGTTTTAATTTTTTCCTTGTTTATTTTTTCTTTTTACTCTTAAATTTTGTTTTATGGGGGGGGGTGCAGGGGTGGAGGGTAGATGTGAAGGGAAGGGGAAATGAATGGGATCAAGATACATGACATGGGCTAGAGAGATGGCTTGGAGATTAAGAGCACTGACTACTCTTCTAGAGGACCTGGGTTCAATTCCCAGTACCCACATGGCAGCTCACAACTGTCTGTAAATCCACTTCCAGGGGATCTGACACCTTCACACCAATGCACATAAAATAAAGTTAAATAAATTATAAAAAATCTTTAATTTTAATAAAATTAAAAATTTAATAAGAAAGATACATGACATAAAAGACACAAAATAATTTTTTTAAATAGGAAAAAAAGAGCAATCTGTGCTCTTAACTGAGTCATCACTCCAGGCCCCTTTTTGCCTTTCATGGAATCTACCTGGAGAAAGAAGTGAGAGAGACAGATTATATTAAACTGTCCAGTGTGCCTTGACTTATGATGATCTTATGTCTAGCTTTCATAGTTGTAAACATCACGTCAAAAATACGTATAGGGGGCGCCAATGAGGTGATTCAGTGGACAAAGGTGCTGCCCAGTGTGACAACTTGAATTTGAGCCTCAGAAACCACAAAGTAGAAGGACAGAGCCATCTCCTGCAGGTCATCCTCTGGTCTCCACACCCAAACCACACACACACTAACTGTGAAAAAGAAAAAAATTTAAGTACACATAAGAGTTGGTGAGATAGCTCAACAGTCAAAAGAGCTTGTCATAGAAGCCTGACAACTTGAGTTTACTCCCAGAACCTTTGATGGAGAGGGGAACCAACTCCTTAAAATCATTCCCTGATTGCGTGCGTGCGTGCATGCGTGTGTGTATGTGTGTGTATACATACATACATATATTCCTGCGCACACACACACACACACACACTCACACACACACACATAAATAAGCCTCTACCTAACTGAGGGTTCTCCAATCTGGAAGCACTTAGAAGTTAACCAGGTTAGAAATGAGGGGACTGTTACCTGTTACCGAATGCCCACTCTCTCCATGGTAGCCTTGACTAGGGTCTTTAATCCCTACAGAGTCCCATTTATCATCTGCAAATTGGGGGGAGAGGGGATGCTCTCACTGGCTCCCAGGCCTTGACTCCATGGCAGGTGCATTTACCTCCCCTCACCTTGGGATGCTCTCTCCCTGCCAGTGTTTGTATCTTCACAGAAGACGAAAGATTATCAGGAACAATCACACTGAATTGGGGAATGATCCATCTCAGCCACATAATAGGAGAGGAATAACAACAAAGGATGAGGGGGCTGTGACCACAACCGCTAGGAAGTCAGAGTTGAGAATTTACTCCTAGTGAGTAGACGGGAAACATCTTAGAAGCTGGGCAGTGGTACTGCACACTTTTAATCCCAGCACTGAAGAGGCAGAAGCAGGTGGATCTTTGAGTTCAAGGCCAGCCTGGTCTACAAAGTGAGTTCCAGGACAGCCAGGGCCACAGAGAGAAACCCTGTCTCAAAAAACAAACCCAGAAAAGAAAAAAGAAATAGTTTATCAGAAATTCCTGCATTCTACAGAAACCAGTGCATTTTCTAAAATCAAATCAAATCAAGCCTTCTTACCCCAACAAGTGTGTGATACACAACGGTGGCTTCCTACCTGAGGCACCAGCTGCGTATGTTCTGTGTGTGCAGGAGCCTGCAGCCTCGGAGACCAGAATGACCCAACAGCTGAAGGAAATGGATAAGTAAAGAAAAAGGAGAGAAACCACACCAGACCATACCTCCCCTCAGAGTCCCACCCACGTCTGCATTTGGGTTCAGATTAGGTCATGGGACCCAACAGCATCAGCAGTCCCATGGGCTCAGCAGGGGTAGCCGGGTGCAGCTGCACTTGAGGGTGCTCTCCAAATTCTTCCCTCCATAGATGGTCACTTTCATCATCTTCGGGTTCTTGAATTTACCCTCACGTGCTATCCCCGAGTTCCCTAATAGAACCTTGGGAAGCTTCCAAGTTCCCCGGGGAGAATAAAAGAGAAGGGGGTTTAACTTTCTACAGTGGAAGTTTCAGAAGTCCATAGTGGGAAAGACTTGGAGGAGTCTATAAGGAGAACTTAGGGGAAAGCTTAGAGAGTGTGAGATGGTCTACACTTAAGCTGTGTTTGGACGGCTTATGTTGGTGCTGAAATAGAACCCAGGGCCAGTGCATGCTGGAACAAATATCCTACCACTGAGCTGCATCTGAAGCCCCAATGCTTGTTTTCTGGTCTGGTTTTGTTTTGAGACAGAGCCTCTCACAGCCCATGTTGGCCTTGAACTCTATGTAGCTGGTGACCATGAACCTTCAACTATCTCCCAAATATTGTAACTAAAGGTGTTCACCGCCATGCCCAGCTACAAGCACACCGTTTCACTTATAGTACAGACATCTTTGGGGTAGAGATTTTGGAAGAAAAACTAACCTCCCTTTTACACAACCATTTCCAATTATTGTTTGGTTAGAGGAGCGATGAGATTTGGGGCATAGCCACTCCTTCCCTGGAGTCTAGTTGGGGATTAGAGATCACTACTAGGGCTTGGAAAATCAGTGAAGGACCAGCTGAGGGTGATGTAATCCTGCTCTCCATTTGGTTCTGCAGGACAGCTCCTCTGAGCAGTTCACGGCTGACCCCCTGATGTCATTCCTTTAGCTCAGTGTCCTGGTCAGCTTTAACTGTCACCGTGACACAGCCTACAGTCATCTGAGAAGGGAACCCCAGTGAGGGATGTCCCAGATCAGTCTGACTTGTGGGCGTATCTCTGGGAGATTGTCGTGATCACTAACTGATGGAGGAGGGTCCGGCCCACTGTGGGAGGTACCATCCCTAAGTAGGTCAGGTGGTCCTGGTCTGTATAAGAAAACTAGGTGGGGAAGGAGAACGGGCTTAATGGTTAAGAACACTGACTGCTCTTCTAGAAGACTCAGGTTTGGTCCCCAACACCCACATGGTGGCTCCAAATGGTCTGTGGCTCCAGCTCAGGAGAGTCCCACGCTCTCTTCTGGCCTCTGAGGGTACTGCATGCACATGGCGCTCAGCCGTGCACTCGGGCACAACACCCATATACACAAAGTTGCCTGTCTATGTGCCAAGATGAACTTTTTTTTGCCCTGAAAGTAGTTAACAAAGTATTGCACTTAAAATGTAACATTTTCCTACTTGTTTCCCTTTCTGAATCATGCTTATAATTCACACAGCAAATTAGTTGGGCTCTGTTGTCGTCTGTATATTTCACACTTCTTTTCCAAATAAAAATAAAATCTTCAGGTTCTGAAAATTAAAAAAAAGAATAGATGAAAGCTGGTTAAGCTGCTGGTCTGTGAGTGAGCCAACCAGCAGCGTTCCTCTGGAGTTTCTGCTCCCGGGTCCTGCTTGAGATCCTGTCCCGAATTCCCTCAGTGTCAGACGGTGACCTACGAGGTGGAACAGGTCCTTTCCTCCCCTAAGTTGCCTTCAGTCACAATCTTCTATCACCGCAGCAGAGGTGAAGCTGAGCACGTTTAAACCTTCCCCCATTATTACGTAAACTCCACTATGCTGACATGATGGATTTACACAGGAGGCTCCTGTTTTGCGCCCTGAGCAGCGAGAGAACAAAGGTTCCCTTTCCAATTTATCTTTTGATCTGTCCTCTGCCAGGGAGCAAGTAAGTGTTGCCAAGGGTTGTAAAAGAAATGGTGTTTCTCGGTGTATCTCGTATGACTCATGGAGCGTACAGCATGATACAGTCACATACTCACACGTGAGGTATGTCAGAGAGCTTCACTTCCATGCAGTGGGGCTGGTCTTCCTGGCTGCCATTGCTTCTGCCAGGGCAGCCAATCTGCCCCTCCCATAAATGTCAATTTTCCATACCTCTGTTATCTACCATAGTGACAATGGCAAATGTGATGGTCTCCAGGATTCTCCTTGCGTTTATAGTGCCAGGAAGGATGGGGCT